TAATAATCATAAGGATTTTAGTGGAGTTTGAGTTGACGTGATGGAAATTTTGACCCAAACTAAATTTTGACTACTCAATTTGTTTTTTGACTTATATTAACCACAACGCAACCATATTTTTGTCAATTAAATCTAATTTTGGACCAAATGCCTATTTTTTACCTAATTTGGTCAAGCTCAACTTTGACTAGCTTGTTGGACTTCGACCAAGTTGGGTATTAGGCTCGATTTGAGTTGCCTAACTCTTTGCTGCTCAACTCTCATGGCCCAATCTAGATGCTAAATTATATTAATCTAACTAAATTGCCTTATTTTGGTCAATATGTTGTATTAAGAAAAGAAAAATAAGATGTACATAATTGAAGTTTGGACATAGTATGTTTGAATATGATAATTAAATTATTTTTCTACGATAAAATTATTGGTTCACTATAAAATATATTAGAAGAGGCTAATATTGTTGTAGAACAAAGGAGAATGTATGACATGAATAACACAACCATTATATCTCAAATTATTAGTTAGTTTTGATATAGTATTATTATATCTATTAGACATAAGGTAAACTTTTTATACACGTAAAATACTTTTTAAATTTTAATAATCTAATTAGATAAATTTATTTTTAAAAATAAATATAGTTTTTATTATGATTTTTAGCTTTTTATTTTATATCTTAATTACTCAACGAGCTTAATAAAAGAATGTTAGATCATGTGGCCCATAGGATATAATTTATCAGTGGTTTAATTGGATTGTGATCAAAGCAATTGGGAAAAAAAAGAGAATCCTAATCTTGGGAGTACCATGATGGCAGAACTATCTTATATTGTTGTTCATAAGATTTTCTACTCTCATTTATATAATCATAAGGCTTTCTTGTGATTTTTTTATCAATCTTTCTTTAGTTACATCAATTATAATGGTCTCACAAGGTCTAATTTTCATATTTAAATCTTATAAGATTTCACGATGTTCGAGATATCAAATTTAATAATGTTATCAAAAGGTAGATGATGTCATTCTAGATTTATGATAAATTTAGACTTCAATCCTAAATTTTCTTGCTTCATAGTTTAATCTTAAAGTCCTGACTAAAACAATGACATTCTTCGACCGTCTCCCTCCTCTCATAACCCAATCAATTTCATAGTGAAGCAGACTTTAAACTCATAAATGTTTTGTTAAATCACTAAAAAAAGTTTTTCATAATCAAGATCTACTTAATCGATGATAATTTAAAAATTATGAAAGAATATAATTGTTAAACCTAAGGAGTGAGTTTATTGAGGTTGAATTTGTTCCCCCTTTATGGGCACATTCTAGTAAGAAGGGAAAGAATAAACTAAAAATATGAAAGACATGTAATGTATTATTTCTTAGTTACAAACTCCTCCTATGTACATGTAAGGGAAAAAAAAAACACATCATTAAAGGAAATCTTACATATTTTGATGTCCTAGAACCCGTCTAGACTATCGATGACATTCATATTTGATGAATAAGTTAATAATATAAAATTAAAATTCTAAAAAAAAAAAGAGAAAACTCTTAAGGTTTTCATTCTTCGTAAAATATTTGAAAAAACTAAATTCCTGAACCATTAATGTATTTTTTAATATCTAAATAATATACTAATGTAGTCAATATTTTGGGTTAATTGAGACTTGATAAGTAGAACCCAATCAATTAGATCCATCAAGTTACCATGAACTAGAGATATTCTTAGATGGTCCTATTTCCCAAACTCTATTTTCAATTCTTAGGTGCTTTTTTTTTTGTTGGTAGTGTGCTTGGGACGTGAAGAATTCACCTTAAAGGAGACATCCCAAAAAGTATTCAATCTCTAGAAAATCTGATTATCAAGGCCTTATAATATTCAGGAAGTGAGATAGGTTATCTTAACTCTATGGTGTAAATGGAAGATCAAATCTGACACTAATATGTACAATATTAAAGAGTAAGTAAATAAGTTTTCACTGAGTGTTATGTACTATTATTATTTATTCAGTGAGAATTTAGGATCATGGAATCAAAGTCTAATATCAATTGTTTGGATTTATACCTTTTGTTTCTATTTCTAAAATGAATGTATCTGATGTTCCCCATGATGATCAATTAGTTTGGAAGATAGATCATATAGGGCAATCATCATCCAAGTTGGCTTACAAGCATTTTTTTTTTATTTTGTTTACTAAAGTAATAGGTGATTGTCTTCATTATAAAAAGAATCCCACTATAATTAGAATCCCACTATGTACAAATACCTTTTGATTGATGTGAAAAGTTTATCCGTATAAGGTTTATCTATGTACAAATATCAATATGAGAGAGAGAGACTCATATTGTCGTATTCTACTTCAATGACTTAATATATATTGATATTTAGAATAGAGAAATTAATTTTCTAATTCATGCAAATGATAGATGCTATAAGATTATATAGTACAAATTCAAGAGTATCAATAGATATAATGAATTAATGGATAGCAACAACTATCTTTAAATTAACAAGATTGAAGAAACCCAATATACTCATATTGTCATAATCTACTTGAATGACTTAATATATATTGATATTCAAAACGAAGAAATTGATTTCTAATTTATGCAAATGATGAAAACTATAGCACAAATTCAAGAGTATCAATAGATATAACGAATTAATGGCTATTGTAAAGATAATCTATGTTGCTCAACAAGATGAAATCTAGAAATTAAAAGTTGAGGCTAATGCTACGGAATTGGTTAAAATTTTGAATATGGAGGAATTAACCTTTGATCTTTTTATTATCTCTATCTGAATTTTTTTTTGTATTATTTTAACAAGTTACAGATTTCTCATACACAATTAACATATTCTTGTTTTTATTAACTTCTCATCCTCTTGGCCTCAATAGTTTAAAACTCTTTTATACTATGATGAGCAGAACATTAATTGTATTATATAGTTAAGAAAATATAGTTTTTCTTCCCTTAAATAAATAAATAAAATACCATGATAAAATAAATAAATTTATGGATTGCTGATGGATTTTCTTGAGGTTATCTCTATATGCTGGATTTTTAAAAATTTTGATACTTAATGGTCAATATTACTTTATAATATTTTTAGATAATTTATTGAAAGAAATTCTAGTGATGAGTTTTTACTAGATGGTGCCCTGTATTTAATTTTTACTTGGGGATATATTTCTTATTAAAAATCTTGATAATGCCCTTGAATTATGTTATTTCAAGCCAAATTGATCCATGCATCAGTTTAGTCCAATCGAAATGTCTTGATCCGAGTCAGATCTCTTTAGACCAAATCGTATCGAGTTAGATCTCTTCTATCATCCCATGAACCACCTCTATCTTATCCTCCTCCTACTCCACCGCCTCCTCTTTCTCCCACCCTATCACCTCCTTCCCTTCTCCATTAGTTTTCTCCTCCTCCTTTTCCTTCACCTTCTACTTCTCTTCCACTGCTCCCTTCCTCCCCTCCTTGTCTACCTCCTCATTCTCATAGTTTAGTCTAGAAAAATCCTGTTACATTCAAATTATACTCGGATTACAATTTATTCGTAGAACCTATTAGAAATATATTAATGTTTATATAAATTTATCATAAAATAAAAACATAAGTATAATTTTTGTTAGAATGATGTTCTAATAGAATTCTCAAATTTTGATAATTAATTATCTTAAAATTATCTAGAAATAAAAAAGTATTGATCTTAAAATAGGTTAAGTAATAGAGTTTAAGTTAGTTCAATTTCGAGCGCAACTAAGTCAACATAAAATATAAAAAATATAAATTTTTATGATTAGTTTTATGATGAATTTAGGATAATTTTACATAAAAATTAATATTTTTAACACATTCTGTGAATAAGTATAACTTTCAAAATAACTCAAGTTTCATATAGAAATTGGGACAAAATTTTCTAGGTAATTTAGGGTAATTTTATATAGAAATTAATATGATAAGTTTATGATAATTTTATATAGAAATTGATATATTTTGTGAATGAATATAACACAAGTATAACGTCATTGTTAGATAAAGTGTAAGTAGACGGTGGAGGAGGAACATGAAAGGAGTAAAGACTAGATAGTTAGGGTTCAATTAAATCAAAATTAGATAGTTAAAATTAGTTGAATAGTCATCTTCATATCATTATATTTTTATAATTTCATTAAGGATATTTTTAATCAAAGCTAAAAAAGAAAGTGCCCCTGGTAAAAACTAAATATAGGGATATTATTTGGTAAAAGCCTTTATTTTTTTAGTAAATTACTCATTATAATCTTTTAGTCTTCCTTAGTGTTTAAGATTGCTCAAAGTTTCTACTAGTCTTAATATTATTATTAATTTTAATATTATCAATATTTATTATTCTAAAGTTTTTATTAGTCTTAATATTTCTATTAGTTTTAATATTCCTGGTTTGATTCTGATGTAACCACATATGAGAAGTGAGTTTATGACCAAAATCCTTATTTATTATTTACAACTATCATTTAAAAAATTAATATTTTAATTTTTTTTATAAATAAATATAAATCTCTTCTTTAAAGGAGGATAATATCGAGGTAACGATAAACAAGATTGGAGCATAAGCTGAAGGGCTATGATCAACGATAGACATAAGTTGGAAAAATGATAATTGACGATAGCCATGAGGAGGTAGGTTAGGAGAAAAAAAAAATAAAAAATATTATAATAAGATGAAAAAAAAGAGAGTATAATAAGATGAGAAAAAATATATTATTTTAATAAGTAAAAATAAAAAATGATGGTAGAGGATGTGGGTAAGATGAGAAAAAAAATATTATTACAAGTAAAATATTATTTTATTAAATTTTAAAGGTAAGAGTTGTCTTAAAAGAAAAACTCTAAATAAACTTGAATGACGGAACTGCCCTTTGCCAAGAAAGCGACTACTGCATTCTTGCGTACCACAAAGAGCTTGTTGACTCACTGGCACAGGGACAGAAATAGGAAATAGGGAAAAAGAATAAGGGCGACCATGGCGGCTAACCGAGAAGCATCCAACGATGAGCCCAGTAGCAGGATCAGGGTTTTAAGCTCTCACTTGCACTCCCCTCCTCCAACTTCTCGAATGGCTTCTTCCGAGAAGGATGCTGCGCTCGCCGCAACCCCATCCGACGCGCCCACCATGTGAGCCATCTGTCTCCTCATCATTCTCGATTCTTCTTCTTGCAGTTCGGATCGCTTTCGGTATCATGTTTGGTTGTGTGAACTATCAGCGGATGCCTAAAGAGACTTGATTTTGTGGACGATTAATGATCGCACTTCTTAGTTTTGGGGTTTTTGATCGCATTTAGTGCTTTAATGATGTACCTTTACTACCTAGAGTGGAATTGATTGGGACGAGGTGGTCATTTTGATGCCGATCGAGGCTTTCAAGAGATTATATGGTGCATCGACTTTCTTATTTTCGTTTCTTATCCTGTTACGTTGGTTTTATTTTCTTAGGGAACTGCTTATTTTACCTGTATCTCCTCATGATTGTCTCAAGTTCAAATCGGTTATTGGAAGATACGCTAGTTTGCATGAGTACAACAGTTTACATGATGAAATTGGATTCCCTAATATTGAGTACAAATGCTATTTAAATTGAACTCCTATCCATTAACACTAGATGATTCCAGAGGATAAAAAAAATCTTCCCCTTTTACTTAGGGATCAACCGAGTTATAGTTCCAACCTACGTATATAAACAAGGACCATTTAGTTGACTCCATTGCCGAAAGTAGTTTTATTTTCCTCCCATCTTTTATCTTCTAAAGTTCTCGCTAGTACATACTTATGCTAAGCTTTATGCATTTTCTTTTCACACTAACTACTTTTTGAGATTATTGCCCCACCATGGTCTCTTGAACAATCAAGCTATTGCTTGAGACTTTAAGCATTGTTTCCTCTCTATTAAATTGTGTATTCCTTTCTTTTTTCTATATTCTTAAAATATTTTTTCAATTATAAATGCATCACTGTTTTCTTAATATATGTATGTGCTTCTTGAAATGTGCCACTGTATTGTAACAATTTCTTGGAGACCACACTGATAGCTAAGCATCAAGAACAAGAAATAATTTTCAGATTTAGGACATGTCATGCAATTAACAGAGCAACACTTGTATGTCTTTTTTTGTTACAAAAGCATCTTGATCAAGTAGCTAATTTTAATAATTAAACTTGTCATTTTAATACAGCTTCGATAAAATTATACACAAGGAAATTCCTTCCAAGGTGGTTTACGAGGACGAAAAGGTAATTCATCATTCTTGAAGTTGCTAGATTTATAGATACTATGTTTCTATTTACTATCAGTCGACAGTTGTTGTTTACTTTATGTGAATATTTATATAGGCTATGTTTCTAACTTCAACCAGTTTGTAATGTTTCTTTCTGTTTGCATTAACACTTGTATGTAGAGGAGTGGTAGTAGAATGGATAGGTTGGAAAATTGGAGTGTGATAGGTGGAAAAGTTATATTGTTGAATGCTCAGAATTAGCTCTTCTATTTCCTAAGATTTTCTTCAAGAAAGTGGGTACGAAGCTATGTCATAAACCAGGCTTCCTACTTCTGCCAGTATTTACTTGTTAATAGTTAAAATGTGGAATCTTCTATCTTAATCTTGTGTAGCAACGATCAACAAATCTTTGCACCAGTTATCTCTTTAACTATGGGAGTAGCTTCTTTGTGGTGCCAACTTCATATAAAATCTGTTGTATGTCATAATCCTACTTTGAGATTATTTCTATTCAGTTAAATTTATCTTTTTTCTCTGCCTTTTCAGTTGGTCAATCAAACTTAAAGCTGCAAAACTAAATCAGGGTTTTTTGTGTTTTAGCATTAAAATTTATTTGCATCGAAAGCAATATACTCACAAAAGAAGGAGATTGCATCAGGGCGCACACAGTGTACAATTGATGCACGTACATAAAAAATGCAAGGTTTAGGCTGAGCTGTTGGATGATTCTTGTCTTTTGGATGATTTTTTGATAGAAATGGGTGTCTCCCTTGCTCTTCCTTCAACCCGTACTATATTGTGTGTTCTCATGAGGTTTTTTATTATTATTTTATTTATTTATTTTTGTTCTTCATGTGTCATCTCTTTTCTCTTTCTTTCTTTGTTTCATTTTTTTGTTGCCTTATCAAAATTTTTTTTCCTTCTTGTGATAACCTGTTTCTCATAAGTTTAGCTTTGAGTTATCAATTTTTTGAATAATTGCCAACTTTGGCTCTAAACTCTTGCCACATAGCCTAGGCTTAATTGAATATAGTGATAAAGGAATTTGTCAAGTGACTCTTTAGATTGAGCATATTTATGTTTATGATAATCAATAATATCCTTCATAACTTTGTGTTATGATTATCTTTAGATTCTCATCACTGTTTTCCAGGTCATTTTGTTGTTTTGGAGCTCCATTGCATATACAACTTACATGACGATAGGTTTATATTTTAATAATTGATTTTTTTCATTGGAAGTACAGGAAGCTTTATTCTGAGTTTTTCATTTTGGGGAACTTTTACTTCATAGAATTGCCATTACTAAAAAAGTCTAACCAAAGAGTAGGAGAAAAAGATCCACTAAGAAAAATAATATAATTTCTGTGAGTGGCAGTGCCCTATTTCACCTTTCTTTTTCTGTCGTAATCCTTCTCCTTTTTATTCTTGATTCTGTTGATCTTATTCTCTTCTAGAATTCTATTTCTTTAATAGCTTTTTCTATCTGAAATGTTTATCATCTTCTTCTTGATTCCTTTGTTCTACATTCTTCTAAAATTTTACTACAGCTAATGATATATTTAATATCCATGCTTAAATGTATCAGATTAGTCCAAACTGATCTTATTTGAGGCTTGTGATTAATAATCACTAGGAAACAATATTACATTAATAATTGGTTCCAGATCACTGATGATTTTGTTTGAACTTTTGTCAAATATAAGATGCCAACAGATGAAGATTATGGTGAGATTAATATTCCTCTTCACTTAGCTTTATTCTATGACTAGTTTCTTTTCATTTTTATCGGGTTGCTGGGGGACCTCTTCCTCCCGTATGGTATCAGTTGGGAGGAGTGCGAATGGAAGACGGCCCTGTATTGCTCCACCTACTCAAACTACGCCCAGCGACCTCCGGGGAAACCCTCGCCGATGTCCTCGAAACCCTGTGGAAGAACCGAAGGACCGGCCTCGATTCCCTCGAGAAGTCTCGGATCCGGTCCCTTCTCGTCCTCCCCGCAGCCCAGGACCTCGACCCAGTGAGTCACCTTTGTCCAACCTCGATTGCTTCTTTCTTGCTGCAAAATCTAGGGTCTTCGTCCATTCTTATGCTACCCTTGCTTGTTGCTGCATTCCTGTTGCAAAAAAGTTTCCTTTTTAAATATCTCCAACGTGTGTATAAAGGTGACTGGTAGCGGAGTGAACACAACGAGAATTTGCTAGTTTAACCGTGAAGAACTGGAGCACACGTTTGCTAGGAATAATGAAGTAATCTTTGCGGGCATAACACTTGATAAGCTTATACCTTAGAGGGTATAGTGTTGTACCCTCATGGTGTGGGTTTAGGGCCATTTAATTTATGGAGAATGTCTAGTTCTCTTGATACATCTCTTCTCATTTCTGATTTTGGTGGTCACAGGAGGCAATCAGGTCAGCCATTATTTTATTGCTATGAAAAATCAGGTTGCTGTTGTTTGAGTCGGGGGGGTAATTTGATTTTTGGGAGAAGTTTATTTCTCCTATAATCTGAGCAATATGCTGTTGGTTCAGAAACCACAGGACTAAAAGGGTACGATTGATTCTCATAACTATAATTAAAGTGAAATATGTTGAAAATTTCTTTGAATTAAAATAAGGGTAGAAAAAGCCGATCCCAATACCAATCCTGATGTTGCAAACTATGATATTAACTAGTATTCTTATTAATTTTATACACTTATCTAGCTTAGTTTAGTTCTCTTATTTATCTAGTTTGGAGGTTATTATCTCTTTTAAATAAATGGTCCATATGAGGAGGACAATTCCTAACAAACGTTTCTCTCATTGTTATGACAAATCTTGTTTAAATTTTATGCTTTATTTTCCTAATTGTTTAATATTTATTCTATTATGTTATCTTTATTGCTAGTTTGTACAATACTCTAGTGCCTAACTTTTTATTTACTTGTACTTTTGTTTTTTGTCCATTCTAACTACCGACCTTGTATTCCGATGCTAGATTTTGGCTTGCCTTCGGTTGCTTGTTAGAAAGTGTGTACATGAGAAACTAACAGGAGATGACATCAAAAAATTGTTTCCTCATGACCTTTCTATTGAACTTCAGAGCAGTCTCGTGCTTTTATTTCAGAAGTATCACAATCAGTGGAATGAAGAATTGTCAAGTGACCAGGTATATGCATGTGAATTAAAAGTTAATTTGTAGTAACGACATCTGGCAGTCTGATCAAAGTGGATATCAATATTGTGTAAAAATGTGCATACTAAAAGCTGAAATTTGCTTAGTGATTCTTTTCTTAAGTTCAGGAGATTTTTGAAGCCTTGAGTTTTATGGTGGGATTTATTTGTCACCTTTGAAAAGATGGGATTTTTATTTGTAAACTTTGACGAGTGCTGCAGAAGTGATAATTTGGAGACCTAACCACAAAATGGAAATTAGCAAGTAGCACCTAGCTTCTTTGGCCTTTTTTTTTTTTTCACTTTTTGTTGTTCCAAATGCTATGCAGTAGTTCCAAGAATAATTTTGTGAAAGACTTCTTTCAGTAAAATTGCAAATCATCATATATGATCATATTTTTATCCAAGGTATGCAATTTCGTACCGTA